CTCATATGGAAAGGTTGTCACTGGTATCAAGGTGGGAATGTTGCACCTTGACTATTCGACTACCTCATTAACGATGAAACAGCAGAGCATATACTTTGTGCCTGCCCCACTGGGGATCGAATCAGGTTCTTAAAGTTCGGCAGAGCCGTACTCTCACCATCTGACCTGAAAGACCACTCACCGTACAAACTAATCGACTTCGTTAGGAAGTTGGGTTTATTTGGTCGACTGTGAATAGGTGTTAGCAACAATAAATCCTTGCTGGTTGCGGTGGAGGGTCGAATAGACCCACTCCCTTTGGACCTAACCTAAACCTAACCTAGAATTTGTACAAATCTCACAGATAATGTTGTAAACAAATACGTTATTAACTTCCAGAAACTCAAAGTTTGAATCGTTTAATCGGTTTTCTTTTCAGAAATAGATCGTTTTCAAACAGATCAGCATCTAAGTTTTCGAAATTTCTATGTGTATACAACTTGGGACCTACCTTTTGTCTATAGTCTATCCATTCCCAATTGTAACGGCATTAAAAAGATGAGTAGAGTCATAAACATTTCTTGCCTGTGGCCCCTAGTCGCCCAGATAATTAGTAAATGTGCTATAAAATGAAGTTGGGGAGTAAAGGCTCGGCTAGCTGGACTGACTTAATACTGATTTTTTATTTCACAATATTTCTTTATCAGTGCTGTGTGTTCGTGGGGTTAGGTGAGGTAGTGAGTGGTTTTGCAAACCAATTTTTGAATACTTTTTCTAGAGATCAATTACCCTAACCCCAAACTGATATTTTCGCACTCGACGCGCGTTTCGCTAACAAGGTTAGCATCTTCAGGAGAAGCAAATTGATACTGAATCTAAAAACAAAGGTTAGCTGTTTATATACATAAATATACAAATTGATTTGTCAACAATAGATATGGCTTTCTGGAGACCTTTTGAAACAAATGTCAACTCCGACAAGAATATTTGAGGCGAATGAAAAGCTACCGAGAATCCAGCAGACATATAATGTACCTCGACGAAACTTGGTTTGACACCCATGATGTTGTCAAATATGGCTGGGTAGACGAAACCAAGTATTATGCTTTGAACACACCTTCTTCAAGGAAAAAAAGTGTTATAATTTTGCATGCCGGGAATGAAAGTGGTTTCGTACCTAACGCTTCTCTTACGTTTGTCTCCATACTGTTGTGTGTTCAATCGAATTGAAATGGTTTGGACCACAATGAAAGAAAGCTTGCGGAAATGTAATCAGTCACCGACTTTGAGTGCTGTAGTGCTTGACAATATAAGGCGAGTGGTGGATGAAGTAGGTAATAGTGATATGTGGAAGAACTGTGTGGCCCACGTTATAAAAGAAGAGAACAAATATTATGTGCAAAGTTCCATAAATCCGATCGTTATTCAACCCGATGATGATTCCACCTCATCCGAATATGGCGAAGAAAAATTTTGATTTTTCTAGCAATTTTGTTGGCCCCTATTATTTTGTAAATAAATGTTTGACGAGAATTCGGTGTGCTCATTTGTATTTTCATTGTATTTTAGAGTTTTCGACTCGGAAATCAACTACCTTAAATTTCTAAATTTTTCATAATTATCCATGGTGGAAAAATTCAGTAGAGATAACTTTTTCATGGGGTGATCAATTGCTATGATTGTAAGAATAAGTAACTGAAAAACTATCACTGAAAAATAATATGCCGACGCCTATGTCGGCATATTATTTTTTCTGTTCCAATTGGTATTCGAAATACTATACCTACTCTTACGTTGAGAGCTACTAGCAATACCATAATACCATTTGTGTATATCGACATCATTTCTGAAACAAATTCCGTTTCTTGAATTATTATTGAGTCAAGAAGGGTTGCTGTATTATTTGAAATACTTTTTGGAGTTTTTACTATTTGTTGAAAAAACATTTCAATCTTCAATTGACAGGGTTGAAACTTATATCTTCTGAGGTATTTCTTGATAGTGGTTATTGAGACATCATTCTCACGAGCAACTGTTGTCGAGGACTGTAGAGGATTATTCACTACAGACGCAACGATTTTTATGTGATTATCATTTTTCTTAGTCTCCAATTGGTATACCAATAATTCTGCAACTGGTTATTCAAATTAAAAACAGTAAAAGTCGTTGAATAGAGAATTGAAATTCTTTTCGAAAGATGAGTCGCAAGATCCCCCTCTCTACTGTTACACCATGTCACACCACTGGATTCTTAATCAAAAAATACTTATGATGATTTCTTCTCATCCAAATTCTCTCCAACTCTGATATCTTGCCTAGTTCAAAAGTTAAGATGGGAAAGACTATTTACGTCACACTGTATATCAATTATGTGAAATTGCTTTGAAAAATGTTTTCCTTTTGTGGATGATACCACTATAGTGAATTCACAGGGGTGTAAATATGATTAAAATATGTTTTAACGAGGGTAAAAATCAAAATCTTACAATTTCCCCAAATATGAATTTAACTCGGGTGAAATTGTTAAGTTACTGAGGATCCATATAGACGACAGATTGAACTGGTCATGTCAGGTTGACAAACTGACCAAACAATCATCAAGCGTAATAATTATGATTTGTAGACTAAAGGAATTCGCCGGTATCAGAGCGTTCAAATCTTCTTACTTCGGACTCTTCTACAGGGTGTTTCAAATTCGATCCTCACCATTAGAATCTCGGAGATATGCAGATGATTGAGTTGGGGCAAAGTTGCGCATTTACCTGACAAACAATATGCCGTTGAGAAAGTTCTGAAATTCCGAGTATATCCGGAGATATCCGAAAAATAAATTGCACTTTCACTTTGCCACTTTTTTTCTGCTACATAATGGTGTTTTCAGATTTGCTATCCGATGTTTCGTCTTCCGGTCACCATCATCAACTTTATTTTTTATTATGGGCGCTACAGTGGGATTTTTCTGTTTTGAATAGAAGCAGATTTTACCTTTCCAATGATATATCATGAGTTATTTCAGTCAGGTAATTAGATACTCGTCTGGTAGTGCGCAGTAGAGCACCATCATGTTGAAACAGATATTGTTATAATTAGCCAAAGGCAGATCATCCAAATAGTCTTGGAAAATCGACATTAAGAACTGGTGATTGGTTTCTCCATTTAGAATTCCGTCAAATAAATGAGGTTCCAAAATTCTATCTTTGTAAATTCCTGCCCACACGTTGATACTAAATCGCACTTGAGGTCGAATTTCTCGGAACTGCCTGGGGTTGTTTATGCTTCAGATGTGTTCGTTATTTCGGTTGAATATCCCACAATTCGTGAAAGTGCTTTCATCTGTCCAAATTACATTTTTCAGGAAAACAGGAACATCAGGTCTTCTTATTAGCCAATTACCAAATTCTAGTCGCCTTTAGGGATCTCCTGCATGCAGTTTTTGAAATATGTATGTATATTTTGTAACGTTTCAAACCGCTTTTTTGGGATGTCTCCAAGCAATTGAAATATTCATTTCGGAGGAAATTTGACCTGTAGATTTACCCGGGTTCATGTTTATCTGCAAATTAATAATTTTTATTGAGAAGGACATAATGTCTAACTTACCTCATACATATTTTCTGTCTCCATATTTTTTCCTCGGCTTTTCAAATGAACCAAAATCGGTGAGATTTTGATCCAATAACTTAAATATAGTTCGATGTAGTTGTCGTCTTTCGGGATACAAGTTTAAATACATTTCCGATGTCCTAACACTGTTTCTATCGTATTTGTAATAAATTTGTATCATATCTCTTTTTTCTTCATTCGTGAAAGCCATTTTTCGTCAAAAATTCAATGACTTGTACAATAACAAAATGTCATTGAGTGTAACAAATTCAAAAACATCAAATTCAAAGCCTATTACGATAAAAATTATTTGTTTCCAATATCTTCAATTTTTAGAAAAATAATGAACTTATGATACATCATTGGAAAGGTAAAATCTGTTTCTATTCAAAAAAGAAAGAATCCAATGTAGCGCCTATAAGAAAAAATAAAGTTGATGATGGTGGCTGGAAGACGAAACGTTGGATACCAAATCTGAAAACACCATTATGTAGCAGAAGAAAAGTGACAATGTGGAAGTGCAATTTATTTTCGAATCCTTTGAAAAATGAAGCCAGTAAAAAATAAAAAAACCATTTTCCGAAATTTCTGTTTTTTCCTGATATCTTCGGATATACTTAGAATTTCAGAACTTTTTTAACGGCATATTGTTAGTCAGGTAAATGCGCAAATTTGCCTCAATTTAACCATCTCTGTATCTCTCATAATTTACGAGATCCCAATGGTGAGGATCGAATTTGAAACACCATGTATAGTCACATGGTATACCTATGGCATAGTGTTGTGAAGGGACTCTTGTAATTCCAAAAACAAATTGGTATTGCAAAAAAGAGTTATACGTCTTCAGAGATCATTGTTCTAATCATTTTAAAATCATGCCGCTCCCTTCAGCTTTCGTATATGAAATATATGGAAAACATAAAAATATATCAAACTACATTTCACAATCACAACAATATTAATGTTCAACGAGATCAGGAAACCTGATATGAACTGGGAAATTCATATTGAGCACCTAACAAAAAATTTCTATTCTATTACCCTACCCTACCCTACCCTACCCTACCCTACCCTACCCTACCCTACCCTACCCTACCCTACCCTACCCTACCCTACCCTTATGAATGAATTGAATGCTTCATCTTATACTGTTATCCAGATTTGGTACTGAAGAGGCGATAAAGCAAGTCACTCATGACAGTGGTCGACAGTGGTCGGTCGGTAGCCAAGCGGTTCGGCGTGGGTGATTTGTTCACTCACTCAAATTGACTGCCGTGTTGGTCGGTGGTTCAAGCTCTAGTCTGAACTATCGATCTTCACTTGCTATCGTCCAACCCGTGTTAGGAATCAAGAGTTAATAGTTTTCATTAGTGCTTTTGAAATCAAAATCTGTTGGTTGGTGAATTAAAGAAGTCGTATGTAGTGTCAGCATAATTTCTTTATTGAATTCGACATTGATATAACATTACAATTGGAAACATTGAATATAATATTTTGAATATATTGTAATGACACAGTTTTGCACAACAGCCATATTCAATATAATGATTACACCTAACTTTGAATGTGCTTTATTACTGTTACATATACATATATATTTGAATATGGTAAAGTATAGTAAAAAATGGGAGGGTTGGGCGAGCTCTTCGCGTTCATATGCGATAACGACCTGACACTAGAAATTTTAGAAAAATATTGCAATTTTTTTGCATTGAGCTCCCATAAGAACGCGAAGTTTTGTTCTACCGCAACCGGATATGTCTTGAAATGGTCTGGCGGTTGCCATTTTTAGAATGGCACGCCTAAACATTGCCACAAAAATACCTCCATTTATTAAATTCACATTTTCTCTTCTCTATTTCCTAATTTTACAAAATATCAAGATATGTTGGTTATCGCAAATAGTTTTTTCAATTACATGATATGTTTAAATTTTTGGGGCTGAACCCAGATGGTAGTAATTAATAGTATTGCTCTCATTTTTGGGGTGATTGTAGAAAAATATAGAAATTCGAAAATTTTCCTACTAAGTCACCCATAGCTGTACTACTCTTATAGACCATTTCTCCATGCAAATTTTCACGAACTGTTTTTATTATGGCAATGTTATAGGATGGGGGTGTTTTCTCCCGTCTTCTATGTTTATCTATAATATTCGTATTTAGGTACATGTAGAGCAAAAATTGCATGAAGTAGGACTCTCGACTCTCGTGAACACACTGAAGTGCATTGACAAATGTTTCATCAAACCTAATCTAAGATATATTCCTAAATATATTTCTCAACAATTGATGATATGGTTACTTGAAGCTCACATGGTAAATATGTTTACAAACTAACATGCACTTTATTATCTACTAAACTACAATTTACAAGAACAACAGGTTCAGATCCTTTCTTTGTACCGAATCCCTTCAGAAGAAATCCGGGCTGTCTCACAAAAAAAGAATCTGTCACAACTCATTCAATTTTTTAGATTGAAAGATACTTTACAATTACTGCGGCACATTTGATATGATTTTTTTCGTCCACCATGATATGTAGGCCAGTTGTCCCCAACCAATGTTTTATTTGAGTTTGATGCGCGAATTTGAAAATAATATACCCGGAGAATTTTATGAATTTCACTTACATCTATATTTAGCTAGACATTTTTAAACATCAAGATCTATGACAAACGATTGAAGTGGAATTGCTGAAAAATAACAGATCATGATCGCCATTTCTCATTATCCTAATAAACACTCAGCTAGTTAATTTTCAGCTATTCACTTGTTCAAAAATACACTCAGAAAGAGTAAATTGGGACACAAGAATGCGGTGGACTTCATCAACTCCTGGTTAACTTAGTCTATATTTTGATATGTATAAAATCATGCTTCAGATATGTTTCGTATATTTCTTGCAAGAGACACAATCACTTAGCTGGATGTCCAAAGCTATTTATATTTCAACAAATATTCGAAACGTCGATCTGAAAGCATTACCTCACAAATAATGTAATATGAATGGAGTTCGCATTCTGAAATTTCGAGTATAATGGAATATCTGTGTCCTTATTAATTTTTAATTTTGAGATAGTCACAAAGTCTGCAACGCCCATTTCTAACCCAATTTTGTTTCAGAAATGGTCTTCATTTTAATTTCATTCTTTATTCGAAATGCGAACTCTTGTCGAATGGAGAAAGGTACTACTAAAATTAAGCTAATAAGCTTACTGGAGAAGCTAACATACATGCTCTAGTTTGTAATCTATACGACGGCAAAAGAGAAAAACTTTGAAATACGGAATGTCTTGCTCTACTAACTTATTTATATTTTAATAATTACAAACGGAATGATATAGTTTCTAAAACTTGCTATTTTTTCTCCTTTAACTGCTACTGTTAAATATATTTCTTTGCTAAAATGCACATGCTAAAAACTGTGCGCGCTAACAATCCAACACGTCTGTCGCTTGATCCCCCTCTAGGGTTTGCTTCGTAACTTTTGATGACGCAATTCATTTTTTCCAATGGTAAACTCTGCAGACTATATTCACGGTGCTCGTGCTGCATGGTGCATACTGTGCGTTTCTTCTGCATCATTTCATCGTCTTTATCTTTGAGGTTTCTCAACCAATTTTTATACCACTGAAGCTCGCATTCACAGAGAAGCGGATTATCTGAAAAACACGAACAAATGTGATCGAAACCTTCTCATTACTATCTAAAAGAATGTGAAAAAAGTGATAGAATTCTGAAATGGTTCATAGTCAATTGATACAATTTACGACATAATAAGGGTGTTCAATTTATCCAATCCAACAAAAAATTAGGCGGTTATACAATTCCTCAAGTCTCCTTCCACAAAAGCTTTGTGCTGCTCAGCTTGAAAGCCGTCTGACTTATCCATTTCTTCCCAATCTCATGTAAAATATCTCCAAAATACAGCAAAGCCTGAGATCTGCGAAAGACAAAAGAGACCCATTCTCAGCTGCGGGGATATGCCGTATACCATGCACCTGCGGAAAAGTTTATATCGGTACCAGCAAATGATCCATGAGTACAAAGCTAAATGAACATCGGAGAAACTGTAGATTAGGTCAAATAGAAAAACCGGCAGTAGCGGAACATGCGTTTAGTGAAGGAGATCATACGATACTATTTGAAAATGTGAAACTACTTGCACCGGATCATGGATACCACCACAGTCGGCTTGTACGGGAAGCCATAGAAATCCATAAACATACAGAAAACTACAACAGAAAAGAGGAGGCGATAACGCTTAACCGGATTTGGAATCTTATACTAAAAGATGCTAAGGAGGCAATAACAACGAACCAATTAGAAAGACGAGCTATGCCTTATTATATAAGACATGGTCTCTTCTCCTTTCATTGCATTGCCTGCAACTGAAGCCTCCATTTTCCAGTCCTTCTCCCCGGTGTTTTCTGAATCGACAGTGTTCAGTAAGTATCTCAGTAAATTTTCTGAGGTAATCCTTATCTCTTGAGTCCTTCTCTTCTTTTCTTGTTCTATTTTCTGATCCGATCTCGCGTAAAGAATACGGTACTATCAGAGCTGGTTTAGGGGCGATTAGCGTTTCCATGCATATATGATTCCCGAGTATCCTGGCACGCAGAATAGATTCAAACTATTCTAGTTAGTCAGTTTCTTCAGTTCTTCACGGTATTCCAAATCTAGTATCAACGTAATTTTGTGATTCAGGAAACAGGCTTAATGATCTATAAAAATAATGATCCCTTGTGGGTGTCGAAAATGTTTTGAGTGTTATCATTCATTCATTTTTCATGGTTTGTAGAATTTGTATCTGAACGGCACTTCAACAGAAATAATATTGCATTTCATTAGTTCGGACTTACATTGTTTAAAATGATATGTAAAAAATTCAAAGAATTAGCTGAATAATAACAAATATGTTAAGCAAAAAAACTGAAACTGCGATGGAATATAATACAAGCAACAATAATTAAAAAATGAAAAAATTGAAATATTAACGCGAGATGAAAATCGCTAGATCGAGAACCAGTTCCAACATCTAACTTATGACGCATTGTTTGGAACCTTTGATGTAGTAATTAATATCACTGAAGTTTGTTCCCAACACCAAATCGTTATTTTCAACACATCGACACGTGTTTCGATCACCAAGTGATCATCTTCAAAGAGGAAGATTAAACTGAGATTAAACATCTAACATCAGCAATGAGAGACTACCAATGGGATCGCTACCTTCACTGGTTATAGCCAACATATATATGGAGTGGTTTGAAACTCTGCCTGTTGAAGAAGCCCACGAGAAGCCCCGAGTCGGGTTGAGATACGTGGACGACACCTTCATAATATAGAACCATAGGAATTCAGAACTAGACACCTTCCTGAAACACACCAACAACGTAAGTCCTTCCATTACTTTCACAGTGGAGAAGGAAGTCCACAACGAATTGCCTTTCTTAGATGTACTGGTGAAGAGGACGACACGAAATGGAAAACATCTGTATACCGAAAACCCATTCAATTAGGATCTGTTACCGTGCTTTTGGGCTCTGTAATACAAAGGAATGTCTCGAAAAGAAACTAGGCATCATAAGAATGACCTTCGAAAAAATGATTACTCCAAAGTGATGGTGGAACAGACTTTAGCTAGAAGACAGCAAGAGCCTCGCGAAGAAGAGAAGTCGCCCCAAGAGGATTGTCGGAAAGGATAAGAAGAATTGGGTCCAAGTATAACATTTGAACCTGCTTCAGATCTGGGGACACTATCCGTAGCAGCCTCATGAAAACCAGGCCACCAAACGCGGACTGCTGCGATTCCAAGAATTGCATTTATCGGATTCCCTGCGAGTGCGGAGAATCATACATCGGTGAAACTAAGAGGCCATTGAAAGTTCGCATTGCCAAGCACAAGAAACGCACACACAGCGAGGAGAAACTAGCAAATCAGGAATAGCAAATCATGTTTGCACTCATCAACATAACATTAAGTGGGCTCAAGCTGAATTCATCCTCCACAAGGAGGAACACTGGTTTAGAAGAAAATTCAAAGAAGCCGATTATATGTAGTCCAACAAAGCATTTAGTCAAGCTAGCGTAGAGATACGAAACATATTGTAACCTCTAATCGAACGGAACACGATCAACTTCCGCCAAACGGTCAGCTCCTACTGAAACCGATGAAGCGGAGAGACCTATAAATAGTTAGATCTTGAAGGAATAGGTCCAGTTATCACCGGAACACGATGTGGATACCAAAAATCGAAACGTCGTAAAGTAACTTGATTTGGAATCTTTCAATTTTTAATTTTCAAATTGGAGTAACTTTTTGATGAATAGGAAGGAATAGAAATCAATTTTTACTTCAATTATCTATCGAGTACTCAATTTTGTTTAGTCTTCAGAATTTAACCGAACCATTCGTTTCTATTCGTATTTTCACCGCTTAATTGAAACTATGAATCTTGGCGCTATACTTCGGGAAAGAAGACTAATTCATTAAGTCATTAATTTTCTTCATCTCCGTAAGACGCCAACTTAGCTGGTGAAACGCGCATTTAGAAGATAATTGCAGAACTGGTGATTGGGATAAGTGCTGGTTTTGGATTTATTCTACGCCAGTTTTAACTTTCATTAGATTAAAAGTAATGAACAAACTAATGCAATGACCTTTGTCGATTGTTCTTCTATTTATTAGTTAGTTCATTTATTTCTGCGACTATAATTTTAATTACTTCGTCTTCATTCTTTTCCGACCCAGTTTCTATTGACGAGAAAAGTTTGTTGGAAAGTTCTTTACTCGATATAATCAATCGAGGATTAACTGAATCGTTTCGAGAACGTTTCGAAGATAAATGAATTCCACGATCGAAGCACTTTCCGAAGGTATATTGTATTTGTGGCAATATCCAAAGCGATTTACTACTGTGAATATTAATCAAGGCATATCCGATACGTTTTTGAACAAAATTTCTCCAACAAACATCATTCTCGTAAATATCGACTCCATGCGGAGCAACTTCCTACCTATTTCGAAACAAAAAATAACATTGCTTTGACCGATGTTGAATAAAATATTGCTATAATAACCACAAAATATACACTCTCACTGTTTTATATGATGAAATTAGCCGATACTTCATGAAAATCCATAACTGACGTATTCAAATAATACTTCATTTTGTGATTTCCACTGAACAATTTTACAAAAACGCAACACGTGTTTCGTCATTCAATGGCTTCTTCGGGCTTATCTCACTATGTATTTTTTATTCATCTAAAGATGGATGAAAATTGATTTCTGGGGGTGAGCAGCCTTTCTTTTATTGAATAGATAGATAGATATCACTTCATTACCAACAGGTGTTGGTAATACATTGATTCAATTAATACATTGTGAATGAATTAGTGTTCACAATGTTGATATAAAACAATTGAAAATTATAAGAAAAATCTACAAAGGAAAGGTTCTATGTAAAATAAAGTTCAAAGATCTTCCATTGATCTCACACATGCTACATACTGAATTAGAAATGTAACACACTGGGGAGCAGCCCCGGCTCCACACGGGTGCAATGCTGATACTGAATATAAACTAACCCAGGGAAAATTTGAGAGAATGGAGAAACAGTGATTGAAAGATTATTTTGTTTCGTAGACGTGCCTGTTTTACCCGCAGCAGGCACCTCAGTTGGAATATTTAAAAATCCTTACGTATTGCACATACGGAGAAACAGTGATGAAAAAGTAATTTCATTTTATGAATGCCCCTTTTTTCCGTGGCTGGTGCCCCAGTTCGAATGTTTGAAAATTATTTTCTATTGTATATCAACAACATAAAACGAAGCTACATACAGAATTTCAGCCTCCAAAAATATAGTGGTACGCAGACACAGTGATCAAAAGGTAACTTTATTTTATGAACGCACCTTTTTTTCCGCGACTGGTCCCCCGCGGCTAAAAAGTATAGCTAAAAAGTATAGTTGGAGTAAACGGTATTGTGCACTATTGAAGTTAACGGCACTCTCAAAGACCAAAAAAGACAATACATAGAAATGAACCGGCAGCAAACTAGTTCACGTGGACTGTCGATTTGGCGTCTCGTATTGAATAATTTTTATTAACCGAATTTTATGATTGGCTGAAGAGTCATAAAATTAAATTTGACGTCATGTTACGGTGACGAATAGAAATCGAGGAAGGTTATCGCCGTCGTGTTCAGTTCAGGAACTGATCGCGATTTGAGTGTTGAAATTCGATATTAGAGCAGTTATAATTACTTAAAAATTTTGTTATCTGTTTGAAATGTGGCGTCTTTGAATAAGTACTAATAGTAACATCAGATTTGACTGAAATTTCTTCCTCAACTGTATGTAAAGTATTAAAAAAAACCTTATGAATGCAAGACGCAATGTGATACAGGATTATCAAAACCTTTAGATGTTCATCTAATAAAATCATTGAGAAAACAATATACGACTGTTACAAAAGCGATGAGATTCCTACAACTGAAATCATAAGGTAGAAATTGAATACTTCCTGACATAACATGTGCTGCTGTGATAAAACTCTTCAGAATTGAATAAAGAAACTAGGACTTAGATTCAAAATAATAAACAAACGCCAAGCAGTTATGGAAAGCAGTAGAATAGTGGAATTGCATAATAAATACTTAGAAAAAATAACTAAATATAGACAAGAACAACGGCAAATTTTTTATTTGAACGAAACTTGATATGACACTCACGACACAGTTGGGAAAAGGTGGGCTGATGGTTTGAGAATACGTACGCCTAACATGCCTGCAAAACGAAGGATCGCGACTAATCATTGTGCATTGCAGAGAAAATGAAGAATGGGTTCCGAATTCTTTGAAGTTATGTGGGAAAAAACTTGAGGTCTGCATTGTTGACTATCATAAGAACATGAAAGCTAATATTTTTGTGGAATGGTTTGAAAACACAGTTCTTCACAACGGCCTCTTCCATTCGCGACAGCTCATTAAAGTACCGAATAAAAATTCGAGGATAGAGGAAATACAAAGTTTTTTAATATATCAAAAAATTTTATTTCGAAGGTTACTATATCAAAAACCAAATACTTGAAGTTTTACAGATAGAAATATTTGAAAAAGTGAAATTCCTCCCTATTTTTGTGTTTTCAATCCGATCGAGTTGATTTGGGGAAAATTGAAACAAATTCACATAGCAGGGAGAATCTGGTTTATGTGACGTTTCCATTCCAAATTGGTATTGGGTATTCTTACTTTAACAATAATTTTTCCTAATCTACGAATTACAATTCCCGATGTCCACTCTGGTTTAACTCTTCTATAATCTTTCACTAGCACCTTTTGTCCTATTTCAAGACGATCCCGTATTTTTCCTCGATAATTTCTATAGTTTATGGTGTACAAAAATTCCATTCGTATCTGTGGGGCCGTAAATTCAAAAGAATACAATAATCAAATTCTCCTTCGGGATTAAGTGCCTGTAATGCGAAAAGACAAAAATTTCAAGAATTTTTTTGAACAGCTTTCATTTGATGCATGTGAATTATAAATGGGTTTCCAGATTATCGCCCCATATTCAAGTTTGAACTCCACATAAGCATAGAACAGAGTGATTATTACCTTTCTATCTCTGAATTTTTTTAGTGTTCCTCATTATGAAGCCCAACATTCGATTATCGGATGAAACAGCTTGGTCTTTATGTCTTTCATTTCATTGACTCAAGTGAAGGTATTGTTATCATTTCATTATTTTTACCCTAACATATTTGTTCTTCATGATTCTAGATTTCATACTCACCCATAATATCAACAACTCGAAGTGTGTCCAGTATTGGCTCCATAACGTCTTCTGAAATGTGCATTAGTTTGTTGTTCTGTAGATTGAGAGTTTCCAGAGAGTTTAGGTTCTCAAATGTTATACCAGTTAAAGTTCTGATGCTGCAAAACAACAATATTCATTAACAACTGAGTTTAAATTCAGTACATTAGGTTATTCAGGAATATTAAATGATCCACTATTCTGGTATTCCTTGAATTAAATGATGTTTGTTCAGAAAGTTGTTCTGGAATATATAATGTTCTACTAACGCGAACAGTAATATACTTCGAAATTACTTCAGAATATTCGATTTAGCGTTTTCACTGACACAATTATTAATATTTCAGGAGATATAGATAAAATAGATTATGACTGTCATTATCAATCGAAATAATCAAATCCTCAATATGAAAATATAAAAACATTTCTGTCTATATGCAAAGAAAGCTGAATAATATCTGAATCAGAATATTCAGTACAGTAGTATCTTAAGCAGCAAAATTGTTTTATAATTTCGTGGTGCTGCAATAGTTTTATTCGGTTGGTATTTTATAATTACTTCCAAAATGCTAATTCATTATATTAGACGAGCTATGAACACAATACAATCGTAGGCAATAATACAATTCACCCATAAAACTTATATTTTTATAAGAGAAAATTGTTTTGTAACAGCTTTATAGCACTTTTCTTTGAGCTTTGTATGATCTTCATAAAACTATTTCAAGCTTATTATAAAACTGCTTCCTATAGCTTTAATGAAATTATTTTATTGGAATGCTTTCAAACACAATTTTGTTTTCATTACCATATTGTCACTTTAATGATAATTTCCCAACTATTTCATAGTGTGATATA